GAGGTCAGTGGTTCGAATCCCGTACAGGCCTAATTTTTTTCAGGTCTGATTTTCGCTATTGCATAAATAGCGCTATCTACTGCGAAGGATCATGCATCATACCTACTGATCTAAGTTAGAAGTAAGCTCGTATACACCGATCCAAGAAATATAGACGTGGCACAGATGTAACATCAATGATCCTCACTGTTATACGTTGATCATGATCAAGTACTTGCTTGGTTAGCTAAGTGCCTAGCACCCATGCGCTTAGTGTATAAACCTACTGCGTTTTAGAGCTGTTTATCATTCGAGGTGCGACTCCTCAAATTACTTCACTCGAAAATACAGCGTTAGCCCTACTTCAGGCCGGGGGGCTTTGCACCAAGGATCATAGAGAGCATCTACACCAAACCGGTTTGCGGGACCATAGCTGGTGCTGTGCCCAGACCCACACATTCCATGGCCAATATTCAGAGTTGTAAGACAATCACAGTTGTCGTCATCCATTAAAATAGACTTCACGCCATTCTGCGATCGATACATGAAAGAGTCTTGCTTCGCTTTAGGCTTTGTTCCTTTCAGTACCACTGGATCCCACCCATCTGGGTTGTTAACGACCCTACCAGCGGGAGTGGTCACGTGATCGTGGAAGGCCAACCAAGCCGCATGCGCAACAGCGTTGTGAGAGTCAAACTTCCAAAGGTATTCGTTTCCTTGAGAGTCAATAGCAAGCATTTCCGTGTTGTCCTCCCTTGCCCAGGATGGGATGCGTCCAAAACAGTACGCTCTATACGAGCTGCAGTATCCATAAGGGTAGGTTAGCACATCGTTTTCTTTTGCTGGCCATGTTGCATCAGCTTTCCACCACCAGAAGGCCATCCACCTTCCACCGTGTTTGCATAATGTCATGGGTTTGGCGACTTCACCTGATACAGTGAAAAATAAAGTGACACCCACGTTAGGTCGCGGGGTGTTGCATTTGCTATCATAGAGAGCGTCGACTCCATATCGATTTGCAGGACCGTAGCTCGAAGAGAACCCAGACGCGCACATTCCATGTCCCATACTTAAGGTTGACAAACAGTCACAGTTGTCATCATCCAGCAGAAGGGACTTGACACCTGCTTGTGATCGATACATAAAAGAGTCTTGGTGAGCCCTTGGTGTAGTTCCTCTCAGTACTTTAGGGTTCCATGCCTTGCTGTTTCTGATCTTTTTGAATGGTGTCTCTACATGGTCATGAAGCGCCTTCCAGGCCGCATGTGCTGTTGGATTTCTGGAAGAGAACCTCCAGGTGTAGACGTTTTCTTCAGTGTCAATAGCGAGAAGTCTGGTCCTATCTTCTTTTGCAGCGGAGGGAAGCCTTCCAAAGCAGTAAATGTCCATTTCTTTGCATTTGCCAAACGACTTCTCTAAAACATCGGATACTCCTTTTGGCCATTTTCCATCCTTTGGCCACCACCAAAAGGCTGTCCACTCAAAGCCATATCCTTGAAAGGTGAGTGAGTGGCTTGGAACTTTGAAATAAAGGGTCAATCCATTGTTGGCGCTTGGTAAGTTACAAACGGGGTCATACAAAAGATCAATTCCTCGGGCATTTGGATCAAGTTTATTCCCGCACATAGTGGCTCCGAGTTGAATTGTCGACAAGCAGTCACAATTGTCATCATCGAGAAGCACGGACTTGACCCCGTTTTTACTTCTATATGTGAATGAATCCTGATCAACGAACGCATATCTTCCTTTCAACACTATTGGATTCCAGGCCATTTGGTTTAGAACTGCACCAGCTGCTGTTTCTTTGTGGTTGTGAAAAGCATTCCATGCTGCATGCGCAGTGGGGTTAGAAGCGTTAAACTTCCATCTGTAGACATTGTTTTGCGAGTCTTTGGCTAAAATCTGCGCAGACTGTTCCTCGAGCCAGGATGGAAGACGCTGAAAGCAAAATGGGTCACCCCCGGAGCAAGATCCATAAGGATTCTCAAGTACGTCCTTTTCTTGCTTATCAGTACTGCAAGTTGACCATTGCAAGCCAGCATTCCACCACCAGAACGGTCTCCATTTAGCTCCGAACTGTCTCAAGTCTAGACGTTGAGTGCGATAGTAAAGTGTAAGGCCAACGCTTGGAACAGGACCGTGACATCCGCCATCATACAGGGCGTCGACTCCGAAGACGTTAGCTTTGCTGAAGCTCTTCGAATGACCACTGAAACACATACCATGACCAAGATTTAGGGTCGAATCACAATCACAGAAATTGTCGTCAATTAGCAGAGACTTCACCCCGTTTTGTTCACGATACATGAAAGAAGTTTGAGATCTGGAGGACACTTTCCCTTTAAAGGCCACAGGAGTCCAAGGCGTTGAATTTGAGACCTCCTTATGTTTCGCCTCTTTATGGTCATGGAATGCAAGAAAAGCAGCGTGGGCAACCGGGTTTTTGGGATTAAAGGACCATTTATAAACTGTACCCAATGAATCAACGGCTAACAACTCTGTATGTTTTTCTTTGAGCCAGGAGGGTAGACGCTGAAAGCAGTAAGCAGCTTGGTCTCCGCATGAACCATATGGGCTTCCAAGGATATCTGTTACGTGTTGTGGCCAGGTTAAATCTTTTTCCCACCACCAGAATGCCCTCCATCCCCCACCAAAGTCTTCCAGGGTAAGCTTCTTGACTGTTCGGAAATACAGCGAAAGGCCATGGCTTGGAGATGGTCCACTGCAGCCTGGTTCGTACAGTTTATCAACACCAAATACATTAGACTTGCTGTGAGAGGTAGAGTGACCAGCGTTACACATCCCATGACCCATACTCAGAGTGGACAAGCAGTCACAGTTGTCGTCATCCAAGAGGAAGGACTTCACGCCATTCTGGGTTCGGTACATAAAAGAATCTTGAGTTGCTTTAGGTTTCTTTCCTTCCAGCGTCGTAGGATTCCAGGCCTTCCTGTTTACAATCTTGCCACGTTGTATTTCTTTATGATCATGAAGTGCTTGCCAGACAGCATGGGCGGTTGGGTTCTTTGAGTCAAATTGCCACTTATAAACAGTTCCTTCATTGTCGACAGCAAGCAGTTCAGTGACATCTTCCTTAGCCCAGGAAGGCAGCCGCTGAAAGCAGTAATGATCACTCGACTTGCAAGTGCCATTGGCGTTCTTCAACACATCAGTTACACCAGAAGGCCACTTTTTTCCCGGCCTCCACCACCAGAAGCGATGCCATGACGACGTGTTATAACTACCAGAAGATAATTCAATGGCGAATATCAGCAAGTCAAGGCAGTTCAGGAAGAAGAATATTCCTTTGAAAAAAGAAAATAAATAAAAGCATGTTTAAAACATGCAAAGTGAGGGACCGGGG